AGATTGCATTTTAGAAGCAGCAAATGGAAGATGAATTGAATCGAATGCTTGGTCTCAAAACAGGAAAGGGTGATAGCAAAGAACAGAAAGTATGTTTGCTTGACTATAGCTGAGAAGATCTCTCTCTTGGAGTGATTGCACACCGCACATCAAGTCTTAAAGAGTTGCGATTGAATAGGTGTGGAGTGGTTCGATTGGTGTGTGGTGTGCTCCCATTCTTACCTTATTGTTGGCAGATGATGTTATATATTTGTTTCTTCTGCACCGTTTCCCACTTCGAATAAGCGTTCTCGCTTCAGCAGAGGCCACCAATTAGGGACTGTTCTACGCAATCATCTACATCCGGACAAGGCGAGCCTACACTTCAGAAGCGATCTCCTCCAAGTGCCTTTAGCAAATTATTTCCGGCAACGTTAACTCAATATCCAAAAGAAAATCATGAGGTAGCCTTAGACAATCGAGGTACAGTACGAAGTGCTTCATCATTCATTCACTGCAGGTTGTACAACAACTTCTTTCCACAGCTACACAGGTTGATACTAACGCTAAAGTATCGAAAATGGGTTTCATGCGTTCCGATAGTTATCCAGTTCCACAAAGCGTCAATCAATATCCCAGAGGAAGTTACCAACGCAAAACACAGGTGAGTAATGAACGGAAGAGGGTCAACTTCGTTAATTCTGATTTTACAGAATCGGCAATTTGTGGCAAACCCATTGTTCCAACAAGGACGACCTCAACCAGCGAATCACGATTTCTTTGGATCCAGTCGCGCAATCAATACCAGTCCCAAACTTACTGACCTGAAGCCTTCATCGGTAAAATAACATTTTATAGCTGTCAAATTTAAAGCATTTTCGGGTCATTTCTGCTGCACCGATTTCTTTACACTAAGCTTCATGCTTCTGCTATCATGTATGACGATGAATAGTAGGATTTCCGATTCTTGGGGTGGCTAGTGAGAGCTAGTCACATTTTCCCAAATCATCGTAACAAAACGAACAATAATTTATTCTTCAAGTTGCAACTACTATTGTAGATGATTTCCTTCTTGAAT